GGGCGGGAAGCGCCGTAACGGCTCTAACGGCTCTCGCGGCTGAGGCGAAGCGCCCCTCGCACGAGGCTCTGCCGCCGGGCGGCGCCGGGAAAAGGCTCCAAGAGGGGAATTAGTCTTTACAGCCTCCTGCAAACACACCTTCTAAGAGAAACCCGTTTATCTCCGTGGGCCAAGCCTGCTAATAAAGGTGGTTGATACGGTGACTGATCTCAGTATCATGTTCTGCACCTGTAAACTTGCCCTCTGGAGAATTTGCACATTAAGTTGATCTCTGTTGATCTGCGTTTTGATTGGTGTCACTAATGCTACTTTAAATCAGTGGAGGAGACTTTCTGATGCTTCCATAAGTCTTTGCTATGTTTTTAAGCTTTAACTCTGGTAAGAACCGAGATACAGAGACCTTTGCTAGTGAAATTTGTGTCGGAATGACCTGAAACGGTCATAAGGTAGTGAAACGTGTCGCAACATAAATACATACAAAGTAGTGTTTGGTAGCTGAGAAAGTAAGTTTTAGCCATAGTTTGGCGATCTGCTCCCACAAGGGGTGACCCAGGTGGCCTCGGAAGGTGTTATTGTGGTGTCTATGAGTCTCGATGCATTTTTTAGTGACTAAAGGAATAAAGGCTATGGGGATGTGTGCAAAAGGCTCTGTTGTCTGGGAACTCATATGGAATTAAAAAAATCCCTCTCTCATATTTTCATTGGTTAATACAGATGCAGTGCCCAGTCTTCAAGACAGGCAGAATACTAAAGAGAGGCCAAAGAAGAGCAGCCTGTAGAAAGCAGCTAAGCTGGCAGCGGTAGCAAGGTGAGTAGGACTGTAGACAAAAGTACAACAAAACTTTGAATTCATTTCCTGTTGTTCTGAAGCTTCTCCTGTAAGTGAAAACTCAAGGCCTTTACAAGTGGTTTTTACTTTTGGTTTGAGTCGAAATGAGAAAATCTGTTACTCGCACATATTCTCGCGTAGGAATGTTGAAATATCTTCATGATACTATATTTTTAAAGCTCGTTAACACACTTAACAAGTATTAAGAAGAGTTTAGTGCAAACTAACAAGTGAGTTGCATTCAGAAACTTGCGGTTTATGCCAAATGAGGACAAGCACTGTAAGACTACCTGCGCTGGTTTTATATTTTCAAGATATAATAAATGCTTATCATCAACGATATTTATTCTAAAAGAATACCAACAAGAGATTGTAATGGCCCTCTTGTTGTAGAGACAAAGATAAGCCAATAGTTTTCCTAAATGATACTACATGTTAAGCAACAATAAGGTGCAAAATGGTTTAATACTTGCATGCTTTAGTCTAGTCACAGATATATTAACATTTGGAGCAAGGTTTTCTCTCATCCACTGTCATCATGGTTGTTTTATTTTTCCCTTGGACTTTGAGGTGCAGATTTTACTTGCGTAGAGATTCTGATGGTTTTGCTTTTTTTCATTCTTTGTTTAAATTCAGTGATGGCATTCATTAGTGAAGACTTGGGGTTAAATTCTGGCCATTTTGAAATCACTGAGGAAAAACACTTCCACTGGGACCAAGCTCGCTCCTTATTAGCAGACTCAGCCCTTAGTTCTGCAGTGCTGTGGCTGATGCGACTTTTTACATGAAATGTAGAACTTGGGTACTAATCACTTGCCGTCACTTAAGATTTGATAAGAATGAAATTATTTTCTAAGAATTAATAGCAGAATAATTTTTGGTGAAACGTGTAAGTTGAATAACAAAAGTGGCAAGCTTCTGAGAGAGGTGGGATGTAGAGGTAGGCTTTGTATTTTGAATGGCTTTCTAGTTTAAACTATTTTTGCCAAGCATGCTAATACAAATCCTTTCCTAGAACACTGATGCATTTCTTTTGTCGCCTCGTGATCTGTATGTTGCATTCGTAGAAACTCAGTACAAATTTCAGACGCTTAGTTGCACTGAGGAGATTTTCTTTTCTGGCATATTCAAGTAAACCTGAGGTAAACACATAAATGACCTTCTCTGAATGTTTTTTCTTACATCTTTTATGTGCTATCATTTTGTATTTGTCAGTATACTTACTAGGAGTCCGTTCTCATCCACATAGTAAGTCATAGTATTTGCTGGAAGCCGGATTGTGGAATATTTGTCATTTTATAATTTAAAAAGAGATTAGAATCTTTTTACATCCCAGTGAATAGAATGTGTTTGGCGGTGCTTTTGAGTTACGTCTCTAACAAATAGGGTAATCGGAACAATGTTGTGTTACTCTTTTCTCGCTCTCTCTGTGTTTTTTAGTGTAGGAGTCTAATGGTAGCATTCCACAATATCATTATGATCACAAATGTGATCTTCCATTTGGCTAATCTTGGTTACAGGAAGTGAGAGGAAGGTGACTGGGCTCACCATCTTCAAAGAGAACTCTGGAGAACATGTTCCATTTGTAACATGTTCCATTTACTGTATTATTGGGAATTTACCTACAGTCATTGTAAATTCTCTCCGTAGTAGATTGGGTTAGCTCTGCCATTACTTATCTTACCAAACCTCAAGAAATCAGAGATTAGCTTGTCTGAAAAAAATCATTCAGCCTTGTGAGAATAATTTCTTTCCAGGAGTAGGATACGTGCATTACATTCAGTAAGGGGGATATATGAATATGCAACCAGTTCAGGTTATAGGGTTCCATGTTATGACACTTGAGACTGAACTGAAGTGATCTGAGGGTGTACATTCACTTTCAAACAAGGTAATTTGATGTTTTCCCCTACATTGGCACGACAGGTTTTTTTCCACAGAATTACTGAGGTTGAAAGGGACCTCTGGAGACTGTCTAGAGTCCAACCTGCCTTTTTCAAGCAGGGTTGGCTAGAGCAGGTTACCCAGGGCTGTGCCCAGTTGGGTTTTGAATATCTCCGAGGATGAAGACTGTGCAACTTCTCTGGGCAACCTGTTCCAGCGCTTGGCCGCTCTCACGTTAATTTTTTTTTTCTTATATTTAAATAGAATTTCCTACAATTCCATTTGTCCCCATTGCCTCTTGTCATGTCACTGGATACCACAGAAGAGTCTGGCTCTGTCCCCCCATCAGGTATTTATACACATTGATAAGATCCCCCTGAGCCTTCTAGAGGCTAAACAGTCCTAGCTCTCTCAGCCTCTCCTCATATGTCAGATGCTCCAGGGCCTTAATCATCTTTGTGGCCCTTCACTGGACTCACTGCAGTTTGTCCCTGTGTCTCTTGTACTGGGGAGCCCAGCACTGGCCCCAGCAGTCCAGGTATGTCTCACCAGGACTGAGTAGAGGGGAAGGATCACTTCCCTCAACCTACTGGCAACGGTCTGCCTAATGCAGCCCTAGCAGCTGCATTAGGCCTCCTGTTGGCCTCCTTTGCTACAAGGACCCGTTGCTGCCTCACGTTCACCCTGTTGTCCACCAGGACCCCCAGGTCTTTCTCTGCAGAGTTGCTTTCCGGCTGGTCGGCCCCCAGCCTGTACTGGTGCAGGGGGTTATTCCTCCCCAGGTGCAGGAGTGGGCATTTCCCTTTGCTGAACTTGATGAGGTTCCTCTCTGCCCATTGGTCTCAGGGGCCTGAGGTTCCTGGAGTCAAATCTTACCAGTAAAGAACAAGGTGAAAAAGGCATTAAGTACCTCAGTCTTTTCCATGTCATTTGCCACAAGGTCCCCACCGCATTCAGCAGCAGGCCCATGTCTTCCCTGGTTTTCCTTTTGCTGCTGAAGTCCTTGTGGAAGCTCATCTTGTTGCCCTTCACATCCCTTGCCAGATTCAATTCCAGATGGTTTTGACTTTCCTTACCCACCCCTGCACACTCGGACAGTGTTTCTGTATGCCTCCTAGGCCACCTGTCCCTGCTTCCACCTCTTGTAAGCTTACTTTTTATATTTGGATTTTGTCAGGGAATCCTTGTTCATGCACGTGCCGGGTCCTTGAGGACACTACCAGGCCCTGCTGGCCCTGCCCAGGACCCCATTTCGGCTCAGTCCCTGCCCCAGCAATGCCATAGCGGTGCTGGCCTCCAGCACTGTCACCGCCCTGCCCCTGCCTGGCCATGGCCCCCTTGATCTGGACCCTGACCTGCAGGCTGACAGCCTGGCCTGGCCTCTGCCCAGCCCTGTCACCACAGCTCTGCCTGGCCGTTGCTGGACCTGATCCTGACCCTGACCTGCGGTTTAACTTCCCAGCTTGCCCTTGGCCCTGCCTCCTCACCATGAACTTGCTGGATGATCTGGACTTGTGGTTGAAGCTGGCCACAATCTCTAGGTCTGCCCTGCTCCCTTGCTTGGGTGCTGTGGGGCCCTGACTGGCAAGGCCATACCCTGCCGGCCGTGTTACTGTGCTTGGCTTCCTACTCCCTGACACCATGCAGGCCTCCTGCTGCCCTTGCTTGAGTTCCTCCTCATCAGGGTGAACCGTTCTTGAGTTTGGAGCAGGTGACCCTTGAAAATCAGCCAGCCCACCTGGATCCCCATTGTCTCCAGGACCGTCTTTCATGGGATTCTCCCAAGCAGGTCAATGCAGAGGCGAAAGTCTGCTCTCCTGAAGTCCAGGGTTGGGATCCTGCTATTTTTCCTGCTCCCTCCTTGCAGGATCCTGAACTCCTCCATCTCACAGACACTGAAGGCAAGGCTGCAAATCCCTGACCAGTTCTTCCTTGTCTGTAAGAGAGGTCCAGCAGAATGTCTCTTGTTGGCTTCCTCGATCACCTGAGACAGGAATTTATCACTGATGCTCTCCAGAAACCTCCTGGATTGCTTGTGCCT